TAATTGATTATTTTTTTTTTTATAAAAAAAGGGTAAAACTAGTTTTTTGACAATTTAGGGATAATTTATTTGCTATGAACCAGAGATTGAATTTTTCAAGTTCAATATTCGTAGTTTCAAACAAAGTTTTTGTATTAGGATGATTAAAAAATAAATTTGTTTCGTCAGCATACATAATTTTCGATATTTTTTGGGATTCTTTATGCTTATCGTTAATATAAATTAAGAACAATAATGGACCTAGGATTGAACCCTGAGGAACTCCACGCGTAATATCGAGGGCTCCTGACTTTTCTAGTAATACAAATTGCTTTCTGTTAGACAAATAGCTTTGAATCCACTTAAATGTTGAGCCTATTATACCGTAGTATTTTAGCTTGGAAAGTAAAATACTGTGATCAACCGTATCAAAGGCCTTGGAAAAATTAACAAAAACTTCTAATACCAGCTCATCACTATCAAACAACTTAAATATTTTGTCAGCAAGTTTATTAATAGCATGTTCAGTAGAACACCTACTTTGAAATCCAAACTGATTTTTGTATAATAAATTGTTTAATGTAAAGTAATTGTTTAATCTGTTATATATTATTCTCTCAAATACTTTTGAAAGTACTGGAAGAAGAGAAATAGGTCGGTAGTTGGAAACGTTATTGCAATCACCTTTTTTGAGAATTGGATTCATTTTGGCTAATTTAAGTTTGTTAGGGAATATACTATTTTCGAATGAAGATGATATTAAATAAAATAATGGTTTACTAATGCTGTCCATTATATAAATTGCTACATTACTGGAAATACCATCATATCCACATGACTTGTTGCGTTTAAGTTCGATAATTGCTTTATTAAATTGAATTTTAGTTATCTTTTAATTATTTATACAAGTGGTGGGTTTTTCTCCGAAAAAATTATCAAATGTTTTATTTGGTTGCACAATGTTAGAAGCAAGAGAGGGGCCTACATTAACAAAATATTTGTTAAATTCTTGGCATATTTTTGTTGTACTTGTTATATTTTTTTTATCGGAAATTAGTTTTTGTGGTAAGCAAGTGTGCTTCTTTTTCTCTCTTCCTGTTTATAACAGCCCAAGTCCATTTTATGTCGAATTTATGCTTGTCAAGCTGATTAGAAAAATACCTTATTTTTTCTTCTTTCATACTATGTTGAAAAAACTTTTTATAATTTTTGAATATTTTTTCATCTATTTTATTTTTTGATTTCAAAAATTTTACTTAAAGTTTTTGTTTTCTTTTTGATGCTTTAATTAAAGTTATTGTCATCCATGGATTCTTATATACTTTGTTTTTTATTTCTGTAGTTATTTTCGGGCATACATTATCAAAGATATTTTGCAATGTGTTTGAGAAATGATCAAACGCAATGATAGGATCTGTTGATGAGTATACTTTATCCCATTGTTCTACTTGTAGTTTGTTTTTAAAATTATTTAAGTTTTTTATAGAAAGATTTCTGTAAGTCACAAAGCATTTTTTGTTGTCAATATTTGATAGTACTTCGCGTGCAATATGGAAAACGGGAATGCTGTTTTTTTTAAATTCAAATTTATTAAGAATATACACTGCAACGCCACCTCCCTTGCTGTTTACACGTGGTTGACTTATCATTTTATATGAAACTAAATTGTATAGGGAATTTTCTGACATGGGCAAGTTTGCATCTTCCCAAGTTTCTGATATACATATTACGTCAAAAAAAAAATTTAAAGAATAAAAATGTTTAAATGATTCAAAATTTTTGTTCATTGACCGTATATTTATACTTAAAATGTTTAAATCTTTGTTAAGCTTTTTTCTCTTAAATTCTTCCGGTTTATAGTATTCATTATTTAAGCATTTAATATCTATTTCAGTCAAAAAGTTATAATCATTTTTGTTATATTTCAAAATTTCAAAAATTGGAGATATTAATTTTGTTAAATTTGCTTCATTATTATGAATTGTTTTAGATATATTCATTGTTAATATTATCTTTAAATAAAAACCTTAAAATTTAATATCTAATGAAAATATTAAAACGTAAATAAATAAATTACTTGCTTTCAACACCTTCGTTCTTGCTCATCATATCTCTTATCACTAATCGATTGTAAATGACTTTCGCGTATTTTCCGTTACCACGATGTATTTTAGCTTGAAAAAAAGTTCTTTACGAAATTGCATTGTTTCATCACTATAGTCTTCGTAAATATATATATTTTTCCCCTTGAGTTTACGAGCGTTGGATAAGATGTTTTCCTTGTCCTACCAATTTAATATTTTGCAGACAATAGTTCTAGGCTTTCCACTAAACTTCCCGACACGATGCGACGATATAAAAAATAGTAGTTTACAAATTCAGTATACTTTTTATTTTGTTTATTTTATATGTTTTCTTTTATAAAGGACAAATCATTATTGGTTTTTGAAAGCAAATTTAATAATTTGTAGCCGATAGGCTAGAGGTTTGAGGGCGCCCATGCAGCTACCCATCAATTCTA